TTTCCTCTCCCCTTCTTCTCCACTGCTTCTCTCCCTCCTTTCCTCTTTTTCTACCTCATACCATCTCCTGTACGTACTTACAGGACTTAAAAAAAAAAAACGAGAAGAAGAAGAAGAAGCACACTTCATGTAGATATAAATCCACAACAATGTGTGAGGCCTTACGCTCGTGGAGAACACAAATTGCAAATGCAAATGCAAATGCAAATAATGAGTACCGCGGACACATCCGTGGATGAGTGCGCATCATCGCCCTTCTGTTTCGTCCGCTCAGGCACACACTCGAAAGAAGACTCAAGGGAAAAAAGAGAAAAAGAAAAAAGAAAAAGACTCAAGGTACCCATCCCATTTATTCTGGGGGCCTTTACAAAACTAATTAAAGTAATAATACAGTAAATACCCCCCCCCATGTATTTCTGAAAGTCACCGCACCACGCACGCACGCCAGCCAGCCATAATTGCTACAGGCGTGCCGAGACGTTTCCACTCGAATGAATTTATGCCAGCACCCCAGAATTCGAGTGGAAACGTATCTTGCCCGTTCATCCCAGCGCGTGACGTGTGCGTGACCTTGAGATATCATCGTCGAACTGAAAGTTGGCCCTACTGCCTTCCCCCGAGTACAACGTACGGTCATTACAGCTGAATTTGGTGTATCTTTCGGTCTCAATTCAGCTAATCATCGTCGAACTGAAAGTTGGCCCTACTGTCTACCCCCGAATACAACGTACGGTCATTATAGCTGAATTTGGTGTATCTTTCGGTCTAAATTCGGCTACAATGACCGCACGCCGTACGTTGTATTCGGGGGAAGACTGTAGGTAATTCAGAATTCGAGTAATTTTTTTACTTAGCCGCATCCAGCAGAGTTCGATCTCAGGTCTGTGTATTTCAATTGGTTTAGGGTTCAGGGGTCTAAACAACAGAGAGAGAGAGGACAGTACGAGCTTCCCGTTTTTCGTTTTTTTTTAATTATATAATTTGGACCATTTCTCGATTTATGCGTGTCATCCTTGAGTGCGCAGGGGCCATGCTAATCTACCCTTCTATGTATCGTTCCAATTTTAACGGATGTCCCGAAGGACTGTTTTTCGTTTTTTTCATTTTTTTCATTTCTCGATTTATGGAAAAAATTAATAAATTTTATCGATTTATAGATCATCTTGCTGGATAACCTTATCCAAACTTGGATGAAGCTAAGATTCCCTTTCTAAGTTTTTAAGCTTTTTTTTTTTCTTTTTCACATCTCTATTTATACAGAACCTTATCCAAACTTGGATAAACCTAAGATTTTCCCTGTCAGCTGGATAACCTCTTTTTCTCTTAGGGCTGGGCAGGTGAGAGGCACCTCAGCCTTTTTTTTTTTTTTTTTTTTCAGGGTGGCACCTCAGCTTTCAGTTTGTGGTACATGAGTTTTTTTTTTTTTGTTTTTTTTTTTCACACGAGGGTAGAATTTTGTTGTGAGAGAAGAATATAGATTACCTTTCTTAAAATTAAAAAAAAAAAAAGGTTGTGAAAACTTGAAACGTATGGTAAATGTGACTAAAATGAGTCCTTTTTTTTCCCTCTTTTTTTAATAAACAGGTCCGTATTGTCCCGGCGCATTCCCGTTGCATTCGACCGGCAAGAATGAAAACTGCGGACAAGATATTACACCCACTCTAGGCTTGAAAAAAAAAAAAAAACAGTCCAAAAACCTCACAAGGTGTCAGAAGATTCGGAAAAAAAAAAACAAAAAAAAACAGAGTGCTCATCCGTGCTCTCTCTCTCTCTCTCTCTCTCTCTCTCTCTCTCTCTCTCTCTCTCTCTCACACACACACACACACACACACACACACACACACACACACACAGAAAGCCAGTAATATGTCCCAAGAACTCAGTGATTGCTTAGTAAATGCGGACATCGAGCACTGAGCTAGCATGAGTGAGTTCTCAGGACAAGGAATCAGGAATTGAGACCTCAGTGATTGTATTGTGAATGTGGAAAGCAACCACTGGGCTACAAAGCAATCATGAACGGCAATCACGGACAGCAATCACTGAGCGAGCTACATGGACAGCAATCGCTTAGCTACACAGCAATCACTTAGTCAGTGATTGTTGTCTAATCACTTGCTGTCTTCTGTGTAATAATCACTTGGTTCATAGGGCACGAGGGGATCGAGTCTTGAAACTTAATCTTTGTGATCACTGTGTAAATGTGGACAGCTTAAGGAGATTTGTGTTGCAGTCCTCAAGGAGTGTGCAATGCCAATGAGAAGGAAAAACTGGAACAGTTAGGGGCTCGTTAGACACTCCTCGGGCACGAGGAAATCGTCGTTCGTGAAAACATTTCCTCGGGCTGTCCTCGGGGCGTCCTCGGGCTACAGGCATTTGGCGGCGATCCCCAAGGTACCTCATGAGGTCCCTCCGTACTATCCGCGTAAATCGGGACGGCGGCGGCACCCTTCGACGATGACAATTTTTTGGAGGCTGGTCCAATGCAGTTCCTACCGGGCACTGCACGGACATGTTCGGCCGCCAACGTTCGCCTTCAGGGGAGCTCACGGCAACGGTAACCGTTGGGGGCCGGCCGGCCACCGCGAACGTTTGCTGGCGTTCACAGTCCATCGCGCTCCCCGGCGGCAAACGGAAAACGGTCCAACGGTCTTCAATTTCGAATATTTTAGCCGGCAACCGTTCCCGCCACCCACTGCAGTCTGCAATGTAAATCGGCAGAGGGCGTTTTTTTGTCGGATGCGGTCGTCGGCTATTTGCTGCCGTCTGCTTTTCCGTTTGCTGAAGGTGCGCTGTAGTCATGGCCGACGTCTTCCGAGGACAGTTCTAGATCTGTCTCTTATACACATCTAGATGTGTATAAGAGACAAGTAGCCGTCTGCTTTGCCGTTTGCTGAAGGTGCGCTGTAGTCATCTGTTTGGTGCTCTCCGCAATCTCACGGAAGACACGGGGCGACATATGTAGCTTCTCCGACATATGTAGCTTCTGGCGGAAGTAGTCTTCCGTGGCGTCGGCGGCATCACGCAGATCCTCCCACGTCCCCCCCGTCCTCCTTTTCATCCACCACCTGGGCGTGGCTCTAGGCAGAACGCCACAACCCATTGCGCAGCACACCTGGAAGACGGCGTCGCAGATGGCAGCGGTGTCCAGCCCTTCCGCCGCCAATGACTGCATCGCCTTCCTCCTCCGTGCGCAAAGCTGCGCGTTCATTCTTCCCGCAGTGCTCTCCATCTGGCAGCGCAGAAGAACAACGGTAACGGCCGCGGCAACCGCTGTCCTTTCCGCTGTCGACAGCTTCGCACGCTCGTCATCACCGACATTCCCCATCGCCACACAGGGTGTAGAAGACATTGCCTTCACCTCGGGCAACAGACTTAGGCGACACAACAGCACACTACCAAAATGTGACTCGTGACGAGCACGGGGTTGGTGCGACGAAGGACGCTGTGACAGCTCGCAGGACGCTATTTGCTTATCCGCGTGCAGTGATGCGAGGACGACCTCACTGATGTCGCCGTCTTCACTGTTCCCCTCTTAACGGTGATGGCCGAACGGTTGTCCACTCGCCGACCCTGCCACCGCGCAGTCGAAGGATGTGCTTCCCTGTTGACGCCGTCCACCGCTCACTGCAGCCTCCAGCTGATATGCCTGCGCCGCGCCGACCTCTTTCAAAATTCAAATTTCGAAAAGGGAGACCCGCGCGCGCGAGTTCGTTTTTTTTCGACCCCACCGCCGAATTTTGAATTTTCCAGCCGCCCGGAGGCGGACCACTCCAGACCACCCGGACATCAAATCGTGGACCACCGCCCATAGCCCCGACCCGCGGCCGCATATTTTATTGTGAACATCCCCGCGGCCCGTCCTCGGAGCGTCCTCGGGCGATCGTCCCGAGGACAAGTGCAACGAAGGCAGGAAATTCCTTGGGCGACCTAAAGGAAAACTCCTCGGGCCCCGAGGACGCCCCGAGGAGTGTCTAACGAGCCCCTTACTGCCACTGGATCTTTCCCCTCAAGGAGTCTGTTGTTGACCCACCCTTAGCTGCTACTATCGCTTTGGCAGAGCCCGAAGTAAGTGGCACATCTCCTACCGGTAGTTGGGCCGGCCTGTGCTAGCTCCTCCTACCCTGTCGGCGCTGTCGCATAATTGTTGAACCCATTCAGACCTCTGGCCCGAGCTACTGGATCCGGCGCCTTTTTTTTTTTTTTTATTATCCGGCGTCTTTTGCAGGCAACCACCAGCTTATCCAACTTTTTAGGCGAGAGCGGCTTACTACCGGTAGTACCCATATTTGCTAAGCGTTGCTGTCCCGACTCTGCAGACGCCAGACTGCCGTTTACGTGGAGGGGAGCAGCACCCTCTCGTCTTGTCGGACATAACACTTGTGCAGATTCTGAAGCATAAATGCTGCAGGGCACTACTGTTCCAGTAGTACGCTAACCAAGGCCAGAGGCTGCACAGCACACACACACCCCTCATTCACGATTTGTACCGTAACCAGCTCCGTACTTCATGGTGGCTAGAAGAACCTCTTTGCAGGTTGAGCGTGATGGAGGTTACCCTAGACTCTTGAGTTGTTCTATGGAAGTAGCAAGCAGCCATCTCTGATTTCCAGAAACGAGCTGGGAGCCACTGCTCCCACCATTCCTCGGTGCTTTTTGATCAGTCACAGACTCTGAGGCTGAAGAAGGGCTATAGATGATGTTGTGAGTGACAGTTTTTGCGTTAAATTAAATGCTGTTGCGACCACGGTAACAAGACGCATTCCAGTTACCTTCGCTGTTAACTTCACTGTTACCTTCACTGTTACCTTCACTGTTACCTTCACTGTTACCTTCACTGTTAATTTCACGGTTAACTTCACTGTTACCTTCACTGTTACCTTCTCTGTTAACTTCACTGTTACCTTTGCTGTTGACTTCTGAATCGCTGTTACCTTCACTGTTAACTTCACTGTTAGCTTCACTGTGAACAGTGAAGTTAACTGGGCCCATGGTGCTTTTTGGTCAGTCACAGAGGATGAGGAGGGGCTATAGATGATGCTGGGAGTAACAGTTAACATTAATGCTGTTGCGAGTCTTGCGACCACGGTCACAAGACGCATTGCAGTTACCTTCACTGTTAACTTCACGCTTACCTTCACCATTACCTTCAATGTTACCTTCAATGTGTTTGTTTTTTTTTTTTTTTTTTTTTTAGTACCTCCGCCAGTGTTGGGAAAATAGGGAAAAGTGGACGTTTTCCCGAACTCCTTAAGGTTCAGAGGCCGGGCGCGACGACGGCTGCCATTGATAAATCTGATCGGCGGCCGTCGTTTCGATTTGGCCTCCGAAAAGGTCGGAGGCCCATCGGAGGCCCGCTATTTTCCCACGCGCCAAATGTACTAGGCTAATTCTTTTAAGCCCAACCAATTCAATTACCTGTCGAATCTGGACAGGACGGCCTTTCAGGCCTTTTTTATTGTCATGATTATAGTACTACGGGGAACCCCGTAGCAGCCACGTCCGTGCTCAAACCTCCAACGAGGGAACATGCGGTTGCTGCACCCCCCAGCAGGTGCTATACCTGCTACAGCAGGTGGGCGATACCGGCCAGGGGTCAGCCGGTAGCCTCAGGACCGAACTCCTTCTATGCGCCAGTCACTGCGCCTCCCCTCAGGTGGTGGTCCCCYCCCCCCCCCCCTATGAACATCAGCAGTCTCTGCTCAATGCCCCGTGGTCATGGAGAGGACCAACGGCATATCTCCAGGTGGCGGGCGCCAAGCTTGCCCAGGAAGGTACCTGAGGCCAAATTATGGGGATTGAACCCAAGATTTCCTGAATGCCACTTGCGTGCCTTACCAACTGAGTTAGGCCACTGGATGTTCCCTTCAATGTTCCCTTCGCCGTTACCTTCAGTGTGACTTCTTTGTCTTCATAGTCTTCTTGGTATAGTGCCAATTTTGACAGATGCCCCTCACTGTGCCTGTAACGTGGGGAAGTGTTATGAGTGGGAGATCCATATAATTTTCTGACTTGCTGCGGGAATAGGGCCTACCGTCTTCACCCGAATAGAATGCCCGGTTATTATACCTGTATCTGGACGGAAAAGTGCACCAAATACGGTCATAATAATGACCGGGCGTTCTATTCGGGTGAAGACGGTAGCCCAGTTGGGACACCCATGAACTGTTGAAATATGAATCGGACCCAAGTTCGAATTCAGGTGGAATCTGTTGAATAGGAAAAAAAGCATTCTGAATTATCAGGTACCAGTCAGTTCAAGATGATATCTCAAGGCCGTCGCCCTTTAGGAAAACAAAAAAAGGGAAGCGGACTGATGCTCCCTAGAATGGACATGGAGCCCGCCCCAATGAAACAAAAAAAAAAAAAAAGAAAGAAAAGAGGGGGGGAGGGGGGAGGGAGGAATCCAGCAGGGAGTAAGAGGTAATGTCATTTGTCCTTAATCCTCTACGGTCAGCATATCTTCATCAGTGCTACTAGTAGTGGAATACCCAAAGTACAGCCTTTATTTTATTTTATTTTTATTGCACACACCTTCAATTTTTTATGATGTGTTTGACGATATATATAGGTTATACCCCCAGGAGAGTTCGGTATTTCGTTCCTACCCCTGCAAAATTGCCCCATTTCAGTTTTGCGAAAGAATTGGTAGTGCAACTTTCAGTTGTGTCCAGGGACCCCTTCAGTTTGGACCAGGTGGACCTGCCAAATATCAGCTGTACCCCCTTACCAGATGCAGAAAATTTTACACATAGACCCAGTCTCACAAATATCAGCTGGCATGGAATTGGGACGGGCCTGGCTGGGTGTGCCCCAAGAGGCTGGGCACAAGTGAAATTCCACACCCTCAACAGCCAGGTAGCAGAATAAGCCAGCCAGCCGGTCCCAAGGGCACAGGGTGCCTTTTTGGAGGCATGGAAGTGACGAAGTTTTCAGAGGTATAACAGGTATTTAGAATTTTCCCTATACTTTTTTTTCTATTCTTCTGGATTAATTTCTCTCTGCCCTAGAAAAGGAGGAAGAAATACAGAAAGAAATTACCTCTGCTCTGGTGCCGCCAGGCCCTCCATAGATGAGTTCGTCGTCGTCGTTGTCATTAAACCCACTGTAGATGTCATCATCATCACCACCTCTCCCTCCTATCCCTCCTCCCACTCCTCCTTGCACTCCTCCTCCCATCCCTGCCATCCCCCCCATCCCCCCCATTCCTCCCATTCCTCCCATTCCTCCCATTCCTACGCCACTGTCCTGGGCTGAGAAGCTGAGCCCTCCTCCCCTTCCCTGGTTACTGTACAGCGAGGCAGGGAACACCATATCTCCTTTCTGTATGTGTGTGTGTGTGTGTGTGTGTGTGTTTGTGTGTGTGTTTGTGTGTGTGTGTGTGTGTGTGTGTGTGTGTGTGTGTGTTTGTGTTATAGACTGTCACCAGACCAACCCCTTTCTGTGTGTGTATGTGTGTTGTAGTTTTTTCACCACACTGTGTGTATGATAGTGTGCATGTGTGCGATAGTGTGCGATAGTGTGTGTGTGTGTGTGTGTGCATGCGTGCGTGTGCGTGTGTGCAAGTGTGCGCGTGTGTGTGTGTGTGTGTGCTCCACTCTTAAGCGATCAGCATGGTCATGTGTATAGAAGAGTGAACTTGAAGACACTTCCAGCTCTTGTTCGCAGGCGAGCATTGGCAGCAAAAGGCTCACGTGTATCCAAAACCCTGCCTTTTTCAGTCGTCCCTCTTTCTTCTACCTTTTCGGGCGCTGTCTACAGTTTGCCTCGTCCACAACCAATGTTGTTTCTCATTCTCAATCGAAAAAGATTGCGGCCGCAGGCATAGATACCTTGCTCGAACTCACAAATTCAATTTATCCTCATCACCCAACAATTTTTTTACTGCCCTTGATGGCACAGACAGACACTGTATCCAAATCCAAAACCACGTTTAACCAAATCACCACCATTCGCTCATTGCGCATCAGAGCCCTCCACTGAAAATGCTCCCCCCTTGGTCATCATCTTGGCCACCTCCTGGCAGTCTTCACCGGAATAGAACGCCCGGTCATTACAGCTGTTTTTGGCACAACTTTCGGTCCAGATGCAGCGAAAATGACCGGGCGTTCTCTATTCGCGTGAAGACGGTAGTAGTCTTATCCGAACCGAAGTTTAGTCAAACCACCACCCTTCACTCATTTCGGTTTCAGAGCCATAGCCATTGCCATAGCCAAGCCTTTGCAGAGATCCAAAAAAATGTGGCCCTCTTAATCATTATCTAGGCCTTCTCCTGGCCCTGATATTGTTCTTTCTCCCTCTCCTTATTCTCCAACCTGGCTTCTTCGTGCCCCTTCATGAGCCGTGCTGCTCCTCAAAGTTCCCACCTTGGTAGCCTCTTTGTCCCAATCTCTTGGCCCCATCTTCCTTCCCTCTCCGCTGCTTCTTTGTCCCTTGCTTGTCCTCTTGGCCACTTCTTGTTGTCCTCGTTGTCCTCATCTCGGTCCTCTTCTCGGTCCTGTCTCGACTCCGCCCCTGGTTCCTTCTTGGCCCCTTACTGCTCTTCTTGGCCCACCACTCTTATCGGCAGGCTGGTCCGTCCTTATTCTTGTCTGGCTGGTCCTCTTCGTCCTTATTGGAATATGGAACCAAGATGAAGACCAAGAAGGCCCACCCTTTTGACTCCTTCTTGGTCCCTTACGTGCCGTCTTGGTCCCTCCTTGTTCTCCGGCTGGTCCTCTTGCTCTTCATCTTGGTTCCATATTCATTCCCTCTCTGCTCCTTCTTGGTGCCTCACTGGACTCTTGGCCCCTTCTTGTTGTCCAGCTGCAGCTGGTCCTCTTCATCCTCGTCTTCGTCCCGTCTCGATTCCCCCTTTCGGTCCGGCCTTGATTCCCTTCTTAGCTCCTTCTTGGTCCCTTTCTGGTCCTTTTTATCCCAATTTAGGTCACATTTGATTGCCTCACGGTCCCTTCATTGTTCCCTTACTGGTCCTCTTGGTCCCTTCTTCTTGTCCAGCTGGTCCTTCTGGTATTCCCGTCTTGATTCCCTCGTCACCCCTTCTCGTTCCCCAACTTATCCTTTTTCTCTTTGGTCCCTTCTAGTTCCCCTGCTATCCTGTCGGTCCTAAACTTGGTGCGCGTCAATCCCTTCTTCTGCCCCCTTCTCCTATTTTCGACGCGGTACTGGCCAGTACCCGAACTTTTAGGAGGCCGGGCCCGACAACGGCTGCGGTTGATAAATCTGATCGGCGCCAGTACCTCCGAGCCTATTTTCGACGTGGTACTGGCCAGTACACGAACTTTTAGGAGGCCGGGCCCGACAACGGCTGCCGTTGATAAATCTGATCGGAGGCCGTGAAAATGTTTCGGCCTCCTGAAAGGTCGGAGGCCGAGTATTTTCGAACCGTCAAAGGTACTGGTGGTTCTTGGTCTTAGTTTTCGTCCCACATTTGGTCCCACTCCGGGTCCCACACTTGGTCCCACAGCTGCTCGCCTTCTGGGTCCCACACTGGGTAACACTCAATCCTATACTTGCTCCGACTCTACCAGTAGGTCCCACACTTCGTCCAACACTCAATCCCACACTTGGTCCCCGTCCGAGTCCCACACTTGGTCCCCCAATTGGTCCCACACTTAGTCCCGCTCTTGGTCCCACACTCGGGCCCACACTTATTCCTCTTCTTCTGCCGCTCGCCTTCGTGCTTCCCGAGCGCACTCGATCTCAGACTTGGTCCCACACGCGGTCCCACACTATTCCTCGTACTCCCGCACCTGTGGCTCACTGCTCTGCCCCTCTTGCTGTCCTCTCCCGACTCCTGTTGATTATTCCATAGAACCGCAAAAGACTCTAAATGCTTCTCATCTTGATCTGGCATCCATCCACCTATCCATCTCTCTTTCCCGCTGTCGTTGAGTCACTCAATCGATCAATGAATTAATGAATTATTCAATCAACCCATCAGTCGGAAAGGTGCACCAGAGGCTTTTCTCCGGTAATCAGATCTCGCAGAGCACACTTTGCTGCCAACATGTAAAGAAGAAGAACGTGCATGCATGATTATATGCAACAATCAGTAAAAAAAAAAAAAAAAAAAAAAAAACACACCATGCACTTTGTCATACAGGTAGTTGGCAGGGGTTTAGTTCGATTTTGGCAGTTGAAATGAAGCGTCTCAATAGACGTGCCGCAACAACAGGGTTACTATCAGATGCGCGTCTTCTTTTCCTTGGACTGAAAATGTGGTTTCATTGATTTGACCGATTCGATCAATTGATTGATTGATTGATTTATTGATTTATTGATTGATTGATTGATTGATTGATTGATTGATTGATTACTGACGTCGTTTGGTCGATCGGTACCTGGGTTGCTCGAATGTTTTTGTCAGTTAATTTATTTTTGATGGATGGATGGATGGATCAGTTGATTGATCGATCGATTGAGTGAGTGAGTGAGTGAGTGAGTGAGTGAGTGAGTGACTGATTGACTGATTGAGTGATTGATTGATCGATTGATTGATCGATTGATTGATCGATCGATTGATTGATTAATGGATCGCTCGATCGATCGACTCATTTCATCTAACGGTTGATCGAAGATAAGTTGATTGATTCGTTGAGCGCCAGAATGATTGTTTGATTGATTGATGGATGGATGGATCAGTTGATTGATTGATTGATTGATTGATTGATTGATTGATTGACGAATAGATCGATCGATCCATCAATCGACTCGTTTCATCGAACAGTTGATTGATTCGCCAGAATGATTGATTGAGCTCTGGACTGATTGATTGTCTGATCGATGGTTCGGTTGGTGGTGCATTGTTACTCACACTAGTGGTTTCATTAATCGACCAATGAACGCCGACGAGAACCGTCGATCACCCACATCGATCAAGTAATCAATCTAGCTGCTGGTCGCACCTTCCTTCTTCCCCCGAATACAACGCACTGTCATTACAGCTGAATTTTGACTGAAACATACCCCAACTACAGCTATAATAACCGTACATTTCATTCGGGGGAAGAAGGGTGGCCGAGCTGCCGCAGCCAAAGAGCGTTTGTACGTCGAAGATTCGTGTTTGTTTTTTTCTAACCTTTTTTTTTTTTTAGCCCAAAAATGGGATGGAACTTGGGGGCTTGTGTTGCCGTCTGTCCCAGATTTTAAAGCCATGTTGCAGATTTTTAACACTCCTTTTTTTTTCTGTTGGCTGTGTCCGTGGAAATTTCTCTCTTTGATTTCTTTAAACATTGCTTGGTCGCAGATGGTCCGTTCTAATTTTCTTTTTTTCTGCCGTCCGCAGAATTTTATCCTCCTTGATGGTCACAAATTCGATTGGGGGGTGTGGAATATGCAGATTGAAGACGCATTGGCTGCGTACACTGGGTGCCACGTGTTCACGATTTTGTTTTCTTTTTTTTTGGGGGGGGGAAGGGTAGGTAATATGGCAATTGAAGACGTAGTGGTTCCCTTTATGGATTGCCAGGTTCTCAGCCGCCTGGCTCCCTAAAACGGCACATGCACACGCTGACGTGGCAGTCAATGTAGGAAAACAAGAGCGGGGTCGTGATTGATTGCGACATGTACGACCCCTTTTGCATCTCGTTTCTCCTTTAAACACGTGGCAGTGTCTCGCCAGCACATGCACACGTCGATGTGCCAATCAATACATGCACACGTCGACGTGCCAATCAATGTGGGCAAGCAATGGCGGGGTCATGATTGATTGCCATGTCTTTAACCACTTGTGTGTGTCTTTCTCCTTTTGACACGTGGCAGAGTCTCGCGAGCACATGCACACGCCGACGTGGCAATCAATAAATTCAAACAATGGGGGGTGTCGTGAGTGATTGCCACGAGAGCAACCAGTTGTGCGCGTCGTTCCTCCTTTTTTTGACACGTGGCAGTGTCACGCGAAACACACTGCCACGGGCAGTGTTTCGCAAGCACATGCACACACCGACGTGCCAATCAAGAAATGCAAACAATGGCGTGGTCGTGATTGATTGCCACGTGTGCCAGTTGTGCACATCATTCTTTTTGTTTTAGACACGTGGCAATGTCTTTGCGGAAAACACCCCCACGTGTGCCAGTTGCGTACATCGTTCCTTTTGTTTTAGACAGGTGGCAATGTCTTTGCGGAAAACACCCCCAAGCGTGCGTGCACCCAGATAGTGGTTGCACTGTCGGTTTCCCTCGGCTTCATCGTAATTGCCCGCCACGTCTGCAGCACTTGGTTGCATTCCTTGCCACGTGTGCAATATACATTGTGTCTCGTGATTACCTCAGGCTGCCCTG